TGTCACACACAGTGTAACACACACACACACACACCGGGCATGATAGTCCACACACACACCCTGCACGAGAGCCCGACCGCACACACACACACACACACACACACACACACACACACACACACACACACACACACGCACGCATGCACACACACCCCGGCGTATGGAGACACACTCGACTGGAAGATGGTTCGCACCCTCACCTGCGGAGGATAGAAGATCCTCGATGCGGCTTTGAAACGCGACGAGTGAAGTGTCCGATGAAGGAAACGCGAATAGGACGGCTCGAGATAGCGAATGACTGACTGCTATGATGCCCAACGCCCTCGGCACCCACCTATTTATACCCACTCATACTTGTCACTGTGTGTGTCTATGCGTGAAAGAGGGTGTGCCTGATGCCCAACGCCCTCGGCACCCACCTATTTATACCCACTTACACCACAGTCAGTGTGTGTGTGTGTGTGTGTGACAATGGGCGTGCTTGCCCGTTTGTGTGTGTGTGTGTGTGTATGTGATGGTAAGTGAGGGTGGAGGGGCCAGAGGGGAGTGTGTTCTCCCAAGTCCCCAGATTCCGAATCTCAAATTCATTGTCAATGATTGTTTTTTCTTCTTAGATATGTTTCCCAGCCATCCCGATTGCAGGCCACGTTGTTGGTTTCCTTTTGCCCTAAGGGCGACAGCCTCGAGGTATAGGGCCTCGCTCCACTACTCTTGATATGCACCAAACACAATAATCATGGCCATCTTTCTGTGTTCTAGCGAAAGATTTACTCGCCTTTTGCTCATTTCGAGAGTAGTGGAGCGAGACCCATAATCTTTGGTCTCCGAAAAAAGAAAAGGGAAAAACAAAAAATCTTTGAATTCATAGGCCCTAGGTAAATTCGGAGTTTTTCTTTGTTTCCACTCAGCTTATTCCACTAGTACCTTTGGCGCGTGGGAAAATAGCGGGCCTCAGGTGGGCCCCCGACCTTTTCCGAGGCCGAAATGAAAAGGCCGCCGATCAGATTTATCAATGGCAGCCGTGGCCGGGCCCGCCTCCAAAACTTTAGGAGTTTGGGAAAACGTCCACTTTTCCCTATTTTCCCATGCACCGAAGGTATAATTAAAAAAAAAAAAAAAACGAACCTGTCTTAGAACATTATACACCGGTGTACCAACTGAGTGAGGATGCCATTTGGCGTCCACCACTCCGAAGCCCAAACTTAAGAAGATTTGCACGGGCACTGAGCTCTCGTCCCACCAGCACAGTATTATCCACGGGAACACAGGTGTATGGACCTCGCGGCACTACTCTCCACATGCACAAAAGACAAAAAAGAGATGGCAATGTATGTTTCCGTGTTCTACTACCGGTGGATTCAGTCTCATTTCACACATTTGGAGAGTAGTGCAGGGAGGCCCTACCACTCGCCTTTTGCATTGCATTCGAAAAATGGTTTCCACTTCAAGTTGATCGTTGGGAATTGGCCCCGCACACACACTAGCCACCCCCCCCCCCGCACGCAGACTAGCCACCCCCCTCCCACTTCACAATGCACTGCTGACGGTTCCAGCAAAACCTTTCTTGTTTACTATAAACCGAGGGTGGGGCAAGTGCAATCTTCCCGGCTCTGTAAATTCAAAAAAAAAATAAACTTGCTGGCTCCACTTAGAAGTCCAGACGGTTGGTGGAGGGCCAGGTGTGACAGGTGTGACAGGTGTACTCCTGTCACTCGAGTCACTACGTCCCTTTCGAGGAAACTGTGGCAAGGAATTCATTCGCGGAATGTCTTCAGCAAAATTTGGCTGCCTGGCCTGCCAACAGTCAAACAGAGCGGTGCCGAGGGCCACGTGGTGGTCGGCAGACAATTCGATGGATGTGCAAGTTCTATGGGCGTCGTTAGACACTCCTCGGGGACGCGAAATCCCCAAGGAATTGTTCGTTCCACCTATCCTTGGGAATGCAATCCGAAATAAAAAGTGAAAAAGCCCGTAAGGAAATTCCTCGGGCGTTAGGAATTTCCCCAGCCCTTGGGCACAAGGAATCCGCGTTTCAGGGAGAGGAGAGGGCACACGGGTAGATCTACGTTACAGCCGAGAATCAGGCTGTCCCCTGGCTGGTGTCCCCCATTGGGGGTTCCCTGAAGGCAATCAAGGCCACCCTGGGCTGAAAAGGCCACCCGATGTCAGATTAGACACGATATTGAATTTACCTGGGCTGGTTGGTCCGATGATAATACCTCAAGACCATCGCCCTTTAAACCACCAGTACCTGGCCCAGCTATCGGCCGCGGCGCTTCCCGTATACGCGCCGCGCCATTTGGGCTTCGGCCTGCCGGACCGCATTGGCTGGAGGCCGCAGGCGAAATGAAAAAGAAAATTGCGACGGCGGTTCGGCAGGACTTGGCGTGCATCGTGCTGGGAGGCTCGGATTCAATAGCTGAGCGAGGTACTGGTGGTTTAAAAAAAAAAAAACAAGCCCTATCGGCTGAAGGCCTGAGGCTTGGACCCCACAGGTTTCGGCCTTGGAAAAACTTTGCCGCGGAAAGTTTTATGGTACCCCACAGGCTTGCGCAAAGTCCGTGGAAGGCCGTTTTCATTTTCCAAGACCCTGTTTCTGGAACCCCACACACCCGGAAAAGCGGCCTCGGAAACGCCCCTTGTCGTGTTTTCACTCGGTTTCCGACCTGGAAACCACCGCGGGAGGAAAAGTCACCGCGATTTTGTGCAGGGTAGCGAGGGCACGGTGAAGGGTACCCTTCAACCTTTCCAAGGTCGCGGACGAAATGTGGACCTCCCTGTGTCCGTTCGCCATTCCGACGAGGACCTGGTGCACGGACGAGCAGGATTCCTTGTCGCCCACTGCGTATGGCCGTTTGGAAGGGTACCGGTCCCACTCGCGGAGGGAAAAAAAAAAATACCGCTCTTTCCGTCCGTTTTCAAAATTTCGAATTTCGAACTTCCCCTCTCACGTGCAGCCTTGGTGCGGACATGCAGGCGACGTGGGCCAGCCGTGTCAGCTGCGGGTATCTGCTCTGCTGTGGGAGAGTACAGACAGTTCGGCGACGCACGGGCGGATCGCAGCAGCCATATCCGAACGTCGGCCAAACGCCTTCCCATGCAGAGAGTCGGATTCCTCCATCGCCAACTTCGGCCTTGGTCCTCGTTTGCCACCTCTGCACATGGTCTGGGTCGTCGCCTGCTTCATGTTGCGAGGGTATCGGATTGCGGGTCCGCGGAAAGCCATGCATTCCATGCACGAACTTTAGCAGCCGGGCGTCTCGACTGTGGCAGTCGGCTATGGTGCGCCCATGCACCTGCAAGCGAGGTTATGACGTTGTTGCACGCCAGCCGTTCGCCTATCGTATCCGGTTGTTGGAGAAGCTCGTCACAGGCGAACGGTGACATCGCCGCCATCTTGCCTAGGCTTCCTCCTCGGGTGACAGTCCGAGCCGCGGAAGTGCGAGGGTCGGATGTGGCGGATGTGCGAGGGGCCGGCGAACAGCCCATCTTCTCGTTTGTGCCACTGCCGTTTCCGTTCCAGCTTCCTGGAACAGCACCGCCGGACACGTCGTTCCCCGTGCACCATCACGAACTGTGTGCACCGACCGTCATTGTCATCGAAGGGGGCCATAGCTTTCGTAGTTGGCGGAACATCGTCACTGTGTTCGTTTGGGCGTTCGTCGTGTGTCTTGGTCTCGCGGTGTTTTTGTTGGCGGTACTTTCTGTGTGTGTGGCCGCAGTTCTCGTGACCATCCTGTCACGGCGGGGCTGACCTCGGCTGTGGCGTGTGGGAGTCGGATCTCTTTGTGCGGTGATAGCTATGGATGGCGGCAGTTTCACCTCGCAGTTGTACAACGAATCGGGAGGGTCACAGGGCGTGGAAGTGTGCGAGGACATGGACACACATTTGGAAAGCAGCAGATACCGGGCGAGCCTGTCAGCAGCGGCATGGCATTATGTGCCGGACTCTCAATTGCCCGGTGACATACGATCGCAGTTCGTGGCTCGAGCCGCGGATCCCCGAGCCGCTTACATCGTGGGGTCGATGGACTCATCATCGCCCTTTGGCCGGGGGACGTACCCGCCGCAGTCGCAACCTCGCGGCACGCAGCCGTCCATAGGTGGAATTGCCTTCCATTCTCCGCAACCACTCGCTGGAAGGGGGGGATCTTCAAGGACGGACGCGGGGGTGTGGGGGAGTAATCCGCAGCAGTCTCGCAACCGTCATCACACCGGCCGCAATGTATGCCGCCTTTAGGGCAGCCTGTTGTCAGCCGTGGCGTTGTGGGTGGTGGCGAGACCTTTATGAATGGCAGGTCATCTCCGGTTGATCAGGGCTACCGGCAACAAACTCCAATGGGGCCGGGTACCATTCGGTACGACGATGGAGGTGCAACTGCCCCTACGCCAGGTGAAGGTGATCGCCAGCGGGGCAGTGGGAGCCGGGGAGTCCATACACCACCATCGGGTGATTGCCGATCAAGGGACGGTGAAAGACTGTCCTTTTCGCATCCGACTGTAGGTGTGGACAGTGTTCCAAGTGAACGACAAGGGCGAAACGTGTCAAACACAGATGGAACGCAAGACACAAGTGCGAGAAGTCGGGAATGCAGCGTGGAGGACGACGGAAGTGGTCGACCGCCGAAAGAAGGTGGTGCTGGAGAGCGGCGAAAGGGGGGAAAGTCCACGGCGGCGCCGAAGAAGAACACCCTGTGGACTCTAGAGGAGTGAGTGTTGTTGGCGAAAATCAGCGGCGAGGACGATGCTCTCATGGCTGATGCAGAAGGAGCTCATTCACTCATGACAAGGGGCAAGCATTACGATTGGATAGCAGACCGCATGAAGGAGGACGGGTATGCACGCACAGGAGAGGATTGCTCAAAGAAATGGACGGAGCTGCAGAAAAAGGTTCGGGAAATAAGGGATGCATGCGACGGATCGGGCAAACAGCCATACTGGGATCTAACAACGGAGGAGAGAAAGAAATTGAACATCCCCATGACTTTCGATCGGCCCTTGTGGGATGTGATGGAGTGGTACCGCCTCAAGGCTGCTTTCACCATGGACAACACAATGGCATCTGAGGAGTTGAGAGGGATGGGTTCTGCAACTGCTAGCGAGGCGGGGTCAGAGGGCGGGGGAACAAAGACTTCAGGTGGCGCACCGAAGACTCGGAGGACGAACTCCGGGAAAGTTCGTGGTTCCGATGTCGGGCAAGGTGTGTCGGCGATGGCGGCGGCTATGGAGGACACGAGCCGAAGACTGTGCGAAGGTCTGGACACGGCTGCTGGGACGTTGGCTTCGGCTACCACAGAAGAGGCCGCTTTGATGGCGGCACGGCTGGGCGACATGGCAACGAAGATCGGCCACGTCGCGGGGGCAATGCGGCAGGGGAACTCCGTTTTGGAGTTGCTCGTGGGTGTGATGGCAGGTAGACGTGGCGGATCACCTGCCGGGGAACAAGGGGGGGGGGGGGGGGGGGACATGAGCGGTGACAAGGAGCGGCGAAATCATGGCCAGGCAAGGTCGGATGGGAGGGTTGTTGGGGTTGGGGTTCCACCGTGGCCGCAGATGGGAGTCTGGATTTTAGGGACAAGGCAGCAACACCCCGCACGCTGCATGGGGATAACACCGATCCGCCGAAGAAAAAAAAAAAAAAACAATAAAATCGAGATTCCGATGTCACCGTCGGCTGTCG